TAAAGATAAATAAGACCCTATTTCTGCTGTCGAGGGGCCAGGTCTAGAGGACACACTCACCCGGCCTCAGGGTTGCCTACCACAGTAAGAGCCATGGGGGTGAGAAAGGCGGGGGTAGGCAAAGCAGCCTGCTGGGGGTCCTCAGAGAGGAACTGAATGGAATCTGGAAGGATGAATAGAAACTTGCCTGGTAAGAGAAGAGGAGAAGGACTTTCTCATTTTGGGTGCTTCCCAAAACACCTACAGTGAAGGACTGCTTTCTTTTGTTATTGTTGTTGTAGTTTTGTTGTTTTCCAATCTTGAATCCACCATAGATTGGTGCTTTTGTAAAATATAATAAAAAATGATTTGCTGGAAAAATCAAATATAGCCAAAGATATAAAATACAAGCCCACTGATCATGTGCTTAGATGCAGGACAGTGTCAGATTGCATCAAAGTCTCTAAAATGTAGTCTCAATTTCTGTATATACCTCATCACAGACCAGTAACAAACAGTTCCTGACCTGTACCAGCCCACCAACCACATTTTGAATAGCGGGGGTGTAAGGAAAAAGAGTAACTCAAAGGCTTGGGAGAGCATGGTTCCTTTAGCCAAGTGGCAGCAGTTCAGTCAGCCTGGATGTAAGGACCAACACTGGAATCATAACTTTACATCCTACATCACGACTTCTCCCAGAGTGGCTCTGTAAGATATTGTTAAGAAAATAAAGATATGGTTTCTGTTTTTAAAACCTTGGCCATAGGCACTGGAAGCCACAGAAGAGTTTTACATAATGGAGAAACATGACCACATCTGCAGAGGAGAAGAATAATTTTGGTAGCACCATGAAGGCTGGATGTAGGTAGGGGGGCCACATGGACATAGGGATATCAGTCAATGGCTACTACAGTAATCCAAGCAAAAGATAATGACAGCTAAAACGGGCAACCGTCAAGGAGGGGTGAGGAAGGGAGAAACATATTCAGGGGGTGTGTAAGATGCAGACGTCAGGGGCACGTCTCTGGTTTGGGCCACAGGCGATTGACTGGGTGGTGGTGACCCTGAACAGTGCAGGGAAAAGAAGGGCTCATTTGTGAGAAAACAGCCTCATTTCAACACTGGACCATCTAGTAGTAATGATAGTCGCCTGCAACAAACTAGCATTTTTGAGCACATATTAAATTGAACCATCCAAAATTGCTGGTTTGCAAGGCAAAAAATGGGTTGAATATTGGCAATTTTCATATGACTCAATGTATCATATCCTTAAGCTTGGGCTTTAAAAGGGTAATTCCTGTTAACTCAATAATCTATGACTTAGATGTTGTTGTTCTATTTTACAGCTGAGAAAACTGAGGCTCAGATAGATCAAGGAACTTGCACTGCAGTTAGTTGGAGGTAGAGCTCAGATTTAAAGCCCACCCATCCTAGATTCAAGGTCACAGCTCTTTCTATTTCTAATGCACCCCCTCATTCCTAACCCCCTGGCTCTGGTTGTTTGAAACATTCCTGGGTATCTAGGATCTTCAAGCTTTTTGTAAAGGGCCAGAGAGGCTTTGCAGGATATAGTCTCTGCCTCAATTACTTAGCTCTGCTGTCGTACAATAAAAACTACCATAAACTGATGGGTGTGGCTGTGTTCCAGTAAGCTTTATTTGCGGACACCGAAATTTCAATTTCGTATCATTTTGATGTATCATGAAATATTGTTCTTTTGATTTTTTCAACTATTTAAAAATACATGAATCATTCTTAGTTTGCAGGCCCTACAAAATCAGGCAGCAGGCCATCGTTTTCTGACACTTGCTGACTATGATGGAAACCGTGTGCTATTGTTTAGTACAGTGACTCCATACTATGGTGGGACAAGGCGGGGTGACTATGCACTCTGGTATAGGCCACTTAAGTCTTTCAATCTGGAAACGTCAATTGGGCGCACATTGGATCATCTAGATCTTACAACTGTCTATTTTATTTATTTTGGTTACAAGACAGCTTTCCCTTGAGGGTGACTGCCAAAACATTATCCACATTGAAACAGTGTAGAAGAAACTAATCAATATGTGTCCTATTGATTTTAAATTGCTCACTGAACAATGAGCCACATTATCTATGTATGACCTCCCATTCTGGCATAAGTCATATGTCTAGAGAGTCTAATAATGCTAATTTTTTTTTCCCATGTAGACAGAAAAAAGGACAATCAATACATTCATCTCAATAATTGATGATATTTCTAAGTATTCCATTCAAGTGAGAGCAGCAGTGAGCCCCGCATGCAGAGTGAAGGGGCTCTGGAGTGAGTGGAGTCAACCTATTTATGTGGGTGAGTATCTCCTGTTTATTTTAAAGCAGGCACCTTACTCATGGTCAAAACAGATAATCCTAGAAAGTACACACATTCGCTGTGGGTCTTGAAATGGTATCACATCTCTGCTATGCTTGATTATCCACCCAGAGAAGGATTTGCCTTGCAGCCAGTGAAGCTTAAGTGTCCAGGCTTCCCCCTGGCAGGACCCCTTTCCAGTCCTCGTGCCTACTTCCCCCCTCATATTTTCTGTTTCTCCTTCTATCCAATTTTTCAGATTAAAGTTTTAAATTTGAGATAATTGTAGATTCCCATGCTGTTGTAAGAAATAATAAAGAGAGGTCCCATGTCCATTTCACCCAGTTTCCCCCAATCTTGCAAATTTATTATACAATAATATTATGATCAGCAAATTGGCAC